GGTTGTTCCAGCGGGCAGGACTGGCCTAGGGGCATTTTAAATTGTTTTTAGCCAAATTTTAGTAGAAGCGGCCGATTATATATTTATTTTTAATGATTTTTAAAACCTCTATTGTATTGTATTAACTGTTTTTAACTGGCTGTAAGCCGCCCTGAGTCCTACGGGAGAAGGGCGGGGTATAAATTTAATAAAATGAAAAAAAAAATGAAAATGAAAACAAGGCAAAATAGAGTATAAGTAGTCCTTGACTTACAACCACAATTGAGCTTAAAATTTCTGTTGTTAAGCGAGACAGTTGTTAAGTGAATTTTCCCCATTTATGACATTTATTGCCACAGTTGTTAAGTGAATTACTGCAGTTGAGTCAGTTACCAAGTATCTGAATTTTGACCATGTGACAATAGTGATGCTGTAATGGTTGTAAGTGTGAAAATCGGTCATAAGTCACCTTTTTCAGTGCTTTTGTAACTTTGAATGGTCACTGAATGAATTGTTGTAAGTCAAGGACTACTACATACATTTTATCAGTATAGTCACTTGAATTCAATTGATTTAGCTTTATGTGAACCTCCTAGTAATATTGGGCAAAGTAATAAATCAAAGTGGACAAGACAGGGATTCTACCTGATTGAACCAGTTGGGCCAGATGAGGTCATCTTCTCTAATGGTCAGCAGGTGACATGAGAGTGGGTCTGGATCAATGGTTCCCACCTTAACTCTAAGGAAGGACTGATTTGGGAATGTGACCCAGTTTATGATGTCAAATCCACCTCTGAATTCACCATTATCATCAAAGGAAATCTTATCCCCAGCACTATTATTAAATGATACTCCTCTCAGAAAATGGTGAAGCTAAACAGGAAAGAAGAAAAAGTTAGAAAAATAAAATAAAAATAAAAGCATGGTGAATTCAAACAAAAAAGAAAACAAATACTCCTAATTGCATCATTGTCTTGATGGAAGTAGATTTTTAAGCTTCTTATCATTCTAAAAAATGATCAATAATGTTTTTGCAGGGTTGATCTCTGAATAGGATTCCCACAATTTCTAAAACATATATTTATTTCTTATGGACAAAACATGACATTCTTGTGCAAATCTAAAATTCCCTAATTAAAATATCAGAAGTATCCAAAAAGAAGATGTCTGCAGAAGGATCTTAACAATTGCTAGTTTTATAGTAGTATTTTTTTTAATAGAAAGATAGTTTGAAAAATCTCAGTTGTAACAGCTGAGGGTCAAAATGCATCTGGTATTTCATTACCTCCCTCTTCCTTTCCAAAGTATATGATAACAATATGAATCTATTTTTTAATAAAATAAATAAGAATGAGCAAAAATTAATGCTGATATTGAAATGGATATGTGATTATACTTGTAAGATATAAGCATTTTGATATGGAGAGATGAATAAAATTGCACAGGGTTTCAATATAATATCCAAAGGCAGGAACATTGGCTAGTTCTAGAATAAAAACTCCAAAACTAAAATTCAAATATACAGAAGTAAGAGTCATGGATTGTGTTTGCTACAAAACATTTTTGAACTATTTTTTTATTTCTGATAGGAAATTATTTATTTTCCCAATATATTTGGCAGACATCATAGTCAGGAACTCATAGATCTAGTATTTTATAATGAGATACTTTTTGGAAAATGTTTGGATCAGTATGAACATGGTATAAGATGCATTCCTCTACACAATCTCTTCTTGGTAAAAACCAGAACCAGACAAAGATCTGCAATGAATTTTACACATTCTTATGAAGATAATGGAGAGAGCCAAACAAGGAGAGCAGGTTGTAATGTGAAAAGTAGAAATAATTCACTTCCAGATTGGAACAAGTTGTATGAGACCAGCATTGTAATGAATGAGAATTGGGACTTAAAACAATTGTAGAAATGAATGAAAAAATGCTAACTCAAGATGTGTGGACACCTGGAACCTCACCTCAACTTTTTGCTTTGCAGATAAGCTTTAGCCACTGATTTTAATGTATGCATTCAACATGAAGAAGCCATTGGTTCTTATTATAATGGAAATGTGACACTCTCAGTTGCAGACATCAGGATTCAGTTAAATGAAAAAGGTTTATAATTTTGCTTTGCATCAGAAGTTATGGCACAATTCTAATAAAGAGATTTACCTTCCAAGACTGTTGTTTAAGGAGTTTCCAGGTCACTCCTGATCTTTGGTGGTCCATGGATGAATACAGGGCATGCAAAGCATATGCAACAGCATAGACAGCGTTGTAGACACAATAATTATGGGCAGTCATCCTTGCTTCAAAAACAGTCATTGGAAGTGTCTCCAACCTCTCCTCACCAGTGCAGATATTCTGATCATCTAACTCAGTGAAAAAGTTTGGAATCAGACAATTAAACAGTTGCTGCCAGATTTCTTTCAAGAAGCCATCTTCTTTATTCAAAAGAGGGTTCCTCATCTGAACAAATCTCTGGAATCCTGACACTTCCTTAGATTGAACTGCCAAGGATATAGAACCATGAAGGAAATCCATGCTCCAGTATTTTTGAAACAAGACTGATGTAAAGTCTACATCTGCTGTCATGATCCAGACCTTTGCTTTCTCTGACAAACTATGAAATGCTGAGACTTCAAGTAGAATCCACAAATATATTATCCCTTGATATTCTCCATGAAAGATAATTGTATTCACTGTGCTTTTCCATGCAAGACTTATATTTGGAATTGCTGAGACTGCAACAGCTTGAGCTTCACTTAAACCCTTGTCTGTTAACTCCTTAATAAAATCAAAGCAGACCCCGTGCTGTGAAAACAAGGGTAATATTTTCCATAAAAATGTTTCTGTTTGACTTCCAATACCAACATAAAACACTCCGATCCATGTCCATTTGAAATGTAGCAACAATTGGAGAATTCCACGATACTGATAATCCACAGTTGGGAACATCCAATGGAAGGAAATTGCTTGATTTGGTCCATTTGTCTTTGGAGCAGAAGTATATGCAAGCTAAGAAAAGGAAAGTGTGAAGGAAGAAGGAGAAGAAGCTAGGAGAAAGATTCATTTCAGAAAGAATAGTTACTTAGCCTTATTTTTGTCGATATGTTTCTAAGACTGTACTGCCTATCTTTGACTGAAATCACATGGTCCTGATATTAGTTTAATGTATGTATTTTATGAGCAGCTAAACTGAACCCTGTCAATACTAATACATATTAAAATATTTAATTCACATAATTATTATAAAAATATATAAATGTATTCCATATTTTGGTTTATTTCATATAGTCTCCCTTATGAAGCTCATTTTTAGCTTTTTATTGTGTTTAATTAGTGTTCAAATAAGCATTCTGCAACCAAAAAACTTAGTTTTTGCATTTAACAACTAAGGGAATTGGGAAGGACTTCTTCAGTTTCTTCTCTTTCATGAAAGGAACTACCTGTGAAATCTTGTATTTACTCAGAATAGTTGCTATGTGAAGAAAATCATTTGAGTTAGGCCCTCCAATGACTGCTACCAAATTGTTCTGGAAATCACATTTATAATTTGGGATGAATCTGCTAGGTGTGGAGAGAATTTCCATTGTAGCTGCATATGTAAGCTTTGGATCAAAATAGTTGTTATAGATGTTGAAACCCAAAGTGATATTGGTTAAGACTGTACGGTCTGCATTAATCTCCTTTACCGCAAAAACCAGAGCTAAGATATGTTGGTAACTTTGGATCAGTAATCTGTAATTCAATTGGAAAATAATAAATAGACTCAATCAATTACAGTACATGTTAACTCCACTTGAAATAAATATAAGGTTTTCCTAACAATCTTGATATTAATTACAACAAGGTATCATCCATGTCTATTTCCATGTTCATGGAATACATATCAGAAACAGTGTAGCTGAGAGAGGTTCTACAATCAAAGTGACTACACTCAGAGAATGAACTAAGTGACCAATGTTAAAGAGCACCAAGGACTCATAGGACCAAAGCAGAATTGTGTTGTCAATATGCACACATCACCTCTTTCACATATTTCTGCATCATCACAAGCAAATATTTAATTTGCATTAAACTATTATTCTTCTCCCCCCACCACAACTCTTCCCAAAACTAATTTGTAAGATAACAGCTAAGGCTTAGCAAACCAATTCTACTACTTTTCCTACATGTTTTAAGTTGGTATCTTGTTCTGCATCAGGTCTGCAGTATAATTGACACTAGCAGTTTTTACATTTTCTATATTATGTTGCTTATGAGAGTGAATGGGATATGATCTTTGTTTGTAGTGGGTGAATCTCTTCTTCTACTACTTTTTTAAAAAATGTAATATACCTGATGATTTGCAAGTATTAAGTTCTGCTAAATGTATTTCTCAAAATAAAACAATAATCAGAAAGGAAATATGTCACCCAAAGCAAAAAAAATTGACTGATCCTACCCATTGTATATATTGTACATATTATGTTTAATGCTATTTTACCTTTCACAAGAATGATTATAGATAGGTGATAGATGATAGATGACAGCTGACAGACAGCTGACAGATGATAGAGATAGAGATACAGAAACAGAGACAGAGATGATAGATAGATAGATAGATAGATAGATAGATAGATAGATAGATAGATAGATAGATAGATAGATAGATAGATAGATAGATGGATGGATGGATGGATGGATGGATGGATGGATGGATGGATGGATGGATAGATAGATAGATAGATAGATAGATAGATAGATAGATAGATAGATAGATAGATAGATAGATAGATAGATGGATGGATGGATGGATGGATGGATGGATGGATGGATGGATGGATGGATGGATAGATAGATAGATAGATAGATAGATAGATAGATAGATAGATAGATAGATAGATAGATAGATAGATAGATAGATAGATAGATAGATAGATAGATAGATAGATAGATAGATAGTCAGACAGACATGAGTGGATTGTATCCATAGATATAGTAGTTGAAAATATTAATTTAAAAGGACACTTACTCCATTACAAATGAATTTGATAAAATAAAGAAAAAGATTCAGTTTCAGGAGAGATTCCCACCCCACTGAAGAAATAAGGAAAGAAAAATAGCATTTGGCTTCTAAGTATTATTAGACAGAGCTACAATATGATTCTAAATCATCCAATTTCTTACATGAACTCAACAAATATTTCTGGAAAGGGGTGCCTTTTGAATGTGATCTCCTCAGAAGCAACAAAGCTCTGAGAAATTATGCCACCAAGAGTGAGTTCACTTGGTTCATGGTATTTATGAAGAATGGGATTAGGGCCACTCCTAGTACATTTTGCAAAAGGAATCTTGCAAACACTTCTTGGGAGGGAAACCAGGACCAACACTCCAATGGTTAAAAACATATACATCTTGCTGTAAAAAAGCTATTCATTTCACACACTTTTGGTGAAAAATTCTAAAACAATATAGCCAGATATCAGAACCAGATCAAGAAATGTTGAAACAATTTGCTTGCTTCTGCACAGGTGGATCATAACTGTTTTATATTCAATAAATTCCAGTAGTTAGAAGGGATAATAAATTATTTAGTTTTTAAATATGATTTTTTTAATGTCAGGGAATGTTCAAAGTCAAGGGACAAAAGAATTAAGATGATCAAAATAGGGCTGATGAACACATCCTGTGTTTTATTATTTGCGGTATTATGGAAGAAAATATGTTTTTACTTTTCAGTTTATTCCCATGATGCAATCACACAGTCAATATTTGTAATGGCCACTCCCAAAGGAAGATGCAATAGAAGAGGCAATTTCTAAAAACATTATTTTTCTTGAAATAGCTGTGAAATTTGCAGAAAAAAAGTCAAGTCATTTTCAACTCCAAGTCCTGATCTTGGTTGTTGATATATTTTACATTATATATCTCTTTCATAGTTGGGTTTTTTTATACTAATGTTAGTTGTGGTAGGACAATAATGTTCTTTCTTTATATGGCTATAGCTAGCTAGTCATATATAGCAATAAAGTGCAGTGCAGAAATGGAGGTTCCTGTGATAATTTGAGGCCAAAAATATGCACACCTTAGAACTTAAATAAATGTGTAAGAACCACCCATTCCCTCCCTTTCCCAAAAAATCTTGTAAAAGATTGCAAAAACTGTTTTATTACCTACAGGATTGCCAATAGTTCTTTCTTTTAAATATATGTAAGTCCTTGATAGCAAGCCAGTTTGGTGTAGCAGTGAAGACACCAGACTAAAAACAAGGAGACCAAGAGTTCCAGTCCTGGCTTAGACACAAAGTCAGCTAGGTCAGGAATTTTCAACCAGTGATACACATACCACCTGTGGTACTTTGGCACATGTCAGGTGGTATGCAACTGTCCTAGAGAAGTGTAGTGGGGGAGGGGAATGAGCTGAAATGACCCAAGCCCGAGGAAGAGGCAGCTGGAGCTGCAGGACTGTTGGGTCTTGGCAGAAGCCCCAGGAGTGCCGGCAGGGCTCCATCTGATTGGCTCCAGTTGATTGGCACTTCTGGAAGCAGCACAGAACTGGAAGTGAACTGAAGAGAAAAGGGGGAAGAAGAGGAGAGGATATAAAAGGAGGTGGTTTTGGCAGGAAAGGGGGGGAAAAGACAACATGGAAAGAGAAGGGGAAAGAGAAGAAGTTGAGGAAGGAGAGCTCAGTAGGCAGGGAGAAAACAAGGACAGGGAAGAAGAAGCAGCTGTTGCTGGAAGAAAATGTCCCCTGGTTCATTTTCTCCAGCCAGGAGAATGCAATCAGTGCTGATGAAATGAAAAGCCAGGAGACAAGCATGTCAGAAAGGAGGTGGGTTTATTTAAAAAAACCAGTGGGTTCTTGATGTGTTGGCAGCTTGAATGGATTGCCATAAGGAATTTTATACAGTTTTTACAGCGTTTTGTAATTCAGAGGCTCGGTTTGTGTGCTTTGGTTATTGGAATATTTTAGTCTGTTTCACAAAGGTTAGCAATGAGTCCAAAGTGTTGGCTTCCATATGTTTAATTCATTTAAACAAATGTAATTAGTTTTACCCCCTTACCTTGAGTCTGTCTATGGCTTTTAGCAACTTTTCTTTGTAGGTAAACAGGCTTAATTTAAGGTTATCATTTTTCACAATTGCTGAGCCTTTGATACATTGTTTAAACTGAGACACGCCTGAGGCAGCTTAAAGAAAAAAACCCTGGAGTTTAGTGTTTCTTTATTCTGGGAGGCTTTTGTGAGCCTTTCTTGCTTTGTGCTTGATTCCTGTGTCTTTAAGGGTACAGGGAAGGGACTGGGGTGTGTGTGCATTCTTACTATACAGTGAAAGGAGAGCTCAGAAGGCAGGGAGGAGGAAGAGCAGAGGGAGAGAGGAAGAAGGGCCAACCAGCTAGCTCAGGGGTTTACAAACTTAGCAACTTTAAGACCTGTGGACTTCAACTGCCAGAATTCCTCAACCAGCCATGATGACTGAGGAATTCTGGGACTTGAAGTCCACAAGTCTTAAAAATGCCAAGTTTGAAGACCCCTGAGCTAGCTGGTAGTGGTGCATATTAATACAAATGGATAAATTCATCATACATTTGTCAGTGCAAAGGGAAAGTGATTTAGCAAAGGAACAGCCACCGAAGAAATTAAAACTGGTACTGTTTTTACTTTTTCCTACAGTTTGTAACATTTTATTAGATTATACAATAAAATACAAAAATACAAAAGCAAATAGTAGAATACAATGGGGAGGAAAAAAAAGGGGGGAAAGTGAGGAGGAGAAAGGAAAAAGAACAGACTTCCTCTGTTGCAGTAGAAGGAAGCATTAATATTGAATCTCAACTTTTTACTTTCCCATAATATTATAAACTAGCCATTTCTATAACAACAAATGAATCTAATCAGTAAAACCCAAAATCCCTCCCCCTTTTTTTACTCATCAAGTTTTTGACACCTTGCTAAGCACTGGTGGTACTCAAATATTGTCATGTCCTAAAAGTGGTACAATCTGTAAAAAGGTTGAAAAGCCCTGAGCTAGGTGATCTTGGGGCAGTCCTCTCTCATCTCTAGGAAGGAGGAAGCAATGGCAAAACACTTTAACTCCCTCCCCCAAACATTGCCAAGAAAACTGCAGAGATTTTCCAGGCACTCACCAGGAGTCAAAAAAAGACTTAAAGGAAACAACAACAGCAGCAAAAGTCCTTGTTTCTCCAAAGCGCTACATCAAGCAGATGACAGTGCATTGACCCCTTAACCCCTTAACCCTTGATAACAAGCTTTATTAATGCCAGGGCTTTGCAGAACACAAAATGGTCAGCTATGAACAGCTAGCCTTCCTACATGATTGCATCTGAGGCAACTTGCAACCAAAATTATTACGGAAAAGACCACTGGTAGACTTTGCAGAGGGCCAAACAACAGTCTGGCAGTTTCAACACCAGACGATGCGTGCAATGATCAATGACCACCACAGATGGATTGGGACCCTAATATCCAGAGACATCAAGAATACTGTCAGGCCATGTTGGCATGTGAGCATTATAATGCCCTTAACCTCTACATATACCTTGCCATGCAAAGAGCATGCCAACATAAGGCCAAGGCACTCCGACAAAAAATGGAGAGTTTAAAAACATTGGACAATCGTGGAAATACCAACAAACTGGTCCACAACCTGTCATCCAAAACCCTTACTAATGAACAAACCATGCTATTACAACGGGATACCAGCCTCAATTTAACAGATGCACAACCTGTTGATTTTGCCACAGTTCTAGAGCCAATTGTACAACACATTGAGGCCAATGATGAAACCAAAAATTCCATCAGGCAACGTGTAACAGGGCTGCTCATGAACCACAGGCAGCATCATGTCCTGTCAGCAGCGGAAAAAGAGGCCC